CGGGCCCCCCCCCGGGCCGCCAGCCAGTCCCTGGAAGGGGTGGGAGGCTCCTAGGGAGGAGGGGACCCACGGTTCGACCCTAACACAGGACACGTGTGCCCATCTTGCAGAGAAAGCCGAGGCCTGGACCGCCAGCTGCCGCCCCCAGCTGTCCTGCTGCCACCCCGCCTCCCTCCTCAGGCCGCGAGGCCTGGGGCTCTCCTCCCTGGCCCTGGGCTAGGCCGGCTGGCCGTGGTCTCCAGGACAGGGAGAGGACCTGCACGGGGCAGGAGCCCCAACTGCAGCGCCGCTTCTCGCAGTGGCCCAGCGCCCAGCAGCCCTGCCCACAGGGCCGGCCGGGGCCTCACCCATGATCTTGGCGGCCGTGGACGCGCCGATGATGATGGACAGGTTGGGCGCGATGAAGGACATGCGGGACTCCACGTACTCGTAGATGCGGTGCTTGGAGGCGTTGAGCTCCAGCGCCATGTCACAGGCCTCCTCCAGCCGCTCCAGCTCCTCCTCCGACAGCTGCTGCCTGCAGGGGTGGGACGGAGCCCGTCCTCTCAGCTGGGGGCGTGCACGTGTGTGCATCGTGTGGACAAGCCCGAGGCCCACGGGTCCCAGGGCCGGGAGTCAGGGTCTCGGCAGTGCCCCGCCCTCCCCGGACACACCCCTGGGTGGTGGAGGCGGTGACGCTGACGACCATGATGGTGGCGTTGGTCAGGATCTGCTGCAGGTTCTCGTTGTTCTTGCACTTGTCCAGGCTGTTGCCCAGCTCCTGGGGGGAACGGGGGAGGCAGGAGCACTCAGAAAGTTCTAGAAGCACCACTGGTCTCCTCGGGGGATGCTGGGAGAGCTGGGTCTGCATGCATGCACGCCTCTCCTGCTTCCCAAGAACCACACTGCAGAGCTGGAGCCCCGTCTGCTCTGCCTCGGCAAATGAGGACGGAGCCTGAGCACCGCGGCCACCCTGAGGGGATCTGCAGACAGGCCCGTGGGCCAGGGCAGTGTGCAGCCGACCTCCCCGACCGCTGTCCTCGTCCTGGAAACACCTGGGACCTCCCTGCCCTTACCCCTCCCACCTCGGTGCCACCTCCACTGTCCTCACTTCCTCCTGGCTGCTATGCCTCGGGGTTTGCACTGAAACTGCTCCCGAGTCTGTAGGTGGCCTCAACCCAGCCTCAGCTGGAGCCCACGTGCTCGTCTAACAGCAAGAGCCCCATCAGGAGCCACAGGGCGCGTGGAGGTGGGAGGAGCGGAAGCCCCCAGCCTCAGTGCTGAGCCCTACCCTGCCTTTCCTGTCTCCAGGCTCCGGCCTCACTCATCCCAGGTCCTGTCCCATCCTGGCTCCAACAGGATCGCGTGGCCCGAGGCTGAGCGAGGGCGCTTCTCCTCGCTGAAGGAATCTGAGGGTCGTGTCCCCGCCCCACCCCTGCAGGCGGTGGCAGGTGGAGAAGCCCCGACTCCCCTCTGCTCACCTTAACTGTGCGGATGTAATCCAGAGCATTGGGGACCAGGGACTCCAGCTCGGGGAACCTCTTCGAGTACTTGTCCCGGATAAACTTATGGATGATGTCTACAGCACAGGAGGGCGGGGCCGGTGAGGAGGCTCCGCTGGCTGTCCCTAATAGCCACCCTCCCTTCAACAAGGCCGAGTGCAGCTCGGCGCAGGGACACCCAGCACAAAGGCCACGCTTTCTGGCTCTCTTCATACCAGATGTGGCTACGTGGGTTAGGCCCGGTCTACGAGGTGCAGCCTCAAGGGACTTTTTTTCTTTTTACAACAGGGCGCGTGCACTTGTAGGAGACAGACAAAGGAAGAGGGAGAAGCATCCCGGGGGACGGCCACACCGCAATCCCTTCTCTTCCATTCCCTGCCCAGACATCGGGCACGCACATCCTTGCGTGCACACGCAGCACACACACAGACACACACAGGAGCTGGCATGTTTTCCAGTCTGCCAGGTCTAGGCCTCAGATGCACAGCCAGCCACTGTGGGATCCAGCCACCTTAACCACCATGCCACTGCCTGGCCCGTGACATGCTCTTAAAGAAAAGAACTGAGGCTGGCCCACGGTGCTCCCCCACGCCTTGCTGGTGGGGAAGCGGAGGTGCTGGCTGGAGGCGGGGCAGTCCCTGGTGAGCGGTGGAACTGCGGGCAGGTCAGTGAGAGGGAAGAGCCTGGGCCCAGCCTGGGTCAGGCTGCGACGCCTGGCTGGACTGCTCACTGGGACTTTTTACACGGAAGGAAGACCGACTCAGCCACAATGGGGCAATGCCCAATAAACTCACTTTAAATCGAAAATACCACCTCAGATTGGGCACCGTCTACATGTCCCCTTCTTATCTGAGCTGCTGTCACAGTTGCTTAACCCGGATTTGAGCGAATACCAGAGCTTGGGGGGCAGGACCCTGGGGAAGGCAGCAGGGGAAGGGCCCAGCTTCCGGCTTGCACCTCCCTTGGGTGGAGTGGGGGGAGGGGAGGGAGGGACTCCAGGCCCAGGTGGCTGAGCTGTGTCTCCACGGGCCCGCACTCACTCAGCTCATTCTCGATCTCCCCGGTCAGGTTGTTGGCGTCCACAATGACCCGGTACTCGGGGGCTGCTTCCACGGGGCCCATCACTGTGGAGGAGAGATGGCTTGGGTGGGTGTGTCTGCACAACACCCTCCCTGCCCCAACCGGGAAGGTGGGCTGAGGATGGAGGAAGGGAGGACGGGTGGAGAACAGACGATGGGCAGTTCCACTTCTGCAAACGTCCCCTGCACCATGTCTCTGCCGCTGCCCCCCAATCCAGTCTGTGCTCCATCACATCCTGGAACTAAAGCCTCCCGTGGCTTCCCATGCCACTGAGGCTGACAGCCAACTCCTCAGACAGGCAATGGAGGCCTTCCAAGGCCAGAAGTCCGTGAGGACACATGTCTGTGTCCTGTGGCTGCTGCCCCAGGCCCAGAAGGGAGATGCCTGCCCAGCCCCACCCTGCCTTCACACCCGTGTCATAACACTCCCGCACAGAGGTCTAATACAGGCCCTCACACCAGGGCAGCCTCTCCCCTCCCGCTCCCTGCATCGGCTAACTCTTCTCCCCCGGATCATGCGCCCTCGTCCCCAGCCCTCCCTCCCCTACTTTGCTGAGTGCAAGTATTCGTGCCCCAGAGTGCAATGCAGGCATCATTCTTCCCTGACCACCGAGCAAGGGGCAGCTGTCCCTCTCGCAGCTCCTGAGCTTGGTACCGTCCACTGAGGACTCTCTCAGAGCTGGCCTATCTCCTGTCTCCCCTAACCCCGAGCATTTCGAAAGCAGCCCTGGGCTGATTCAACTGCATGCTCAGGAAGAGGTTTTTAAAAGGAATGAGAGTGCCCTGAAACTGCTCTGACTGTTCTGCTCCCCTGCCCAGCAACCTGCCCTGGCTTCCTGATGCCAACGAATTCCACTCAAGCCTCACCTTGACAAAGTGGGCTGGTAGGAGGAATGCCCTCTCTGGAGCTGGCCTGGCCCAGGCCAGGCATGGCAGTGCATGCCTGTCCTAGTTGCTGGGGGACTGGGCCAGGGGGCTGTGACGTGGAGAGACCCTGCTAAGTACCTCAGGAATGCCCTCTCTGGAGCTGGCCTGGCCCCTGTCCTAGATAGCTGGGGGACTGGGCCAGGGGACTGTGACGTGGAGAGACCCTGCTAAGTACCTCTCACCTTGCTTCCATACACATGGGCTCAAACTCATTTAAAAAAGAGAGAGAGAGAGTCTGTCTGAACATTCAAGAGATGACCCAACGTTTCCCAAAGCTAGGAGTGAAAGCAGGTTTTCATTTAGTATCTGTGCACTTATTTATTCTGGACAGTCTTGCTTAATCATGATCCTCTTGCTGCAGCCTCCTGAGTAGCTGGGACTAGGCCAGCTTTCCAGACGTGCTAGGAAATTGAACCTGAGCCTCCCACATGGCTTCAGTCAGCCAAGCTGAGCTGGCGTGTGTATTTTTAAGGCTACTTTGTATTTACCAGTTTTCCACTCACAGTTATGGTATATTTGTTTCTTAGATAAACTTAGAAAAAAGAGTCCATTGATTTAAAGAAAATGTTAAGGGGGACCATCAGTTAGCGTAATGGCTATGTCGCTGGACTTCCATGTAGTCGACTGCGGTTCGCGTCCCGGACCCGGTGGCTTAAACTCACGTTGGGCGTGTGTGTGTGTGTGCCCAAGATCTCGAGAGGAGAATGGAGAAGAAGGGATTGAGGCGTGGCCATCCCCCCTGGGGGGTGATTTCTCGCTTTCTGTCTCTCTGTCTCTCTCTGTCTATCTGGAGAGCACACGCACCCTATAGCAAACCCCCCCTCCAACAAAAAAAGAAAATGTTAAGGGACCAGCAGATGTTTATGTTGCTGGACTCCCAAGTAGTCAACTGTGGTT